GAAAAAGTTGATGTCTTGATATAGATATACTCTTTTGAAAAAAAGCGACCAAAAAGATATGCATGGAATGCTCTCGGTGAGAGCATTTTAGAACTTTGATCGGCTGGTGAATACGACAAGTTTTGTCGTCTAGCCATCGTTTCGGGCCTTGGTTTCAAATTAAGGGGTTTCAAGTTCAAGATTTTCCGTATTTTTACGTTTTAAAAACTTGGACAAAGTCATACATTTTACGTAAAATATTTTTAAAACGGGAGACCTTTTTACGTCTCCCGTTTTAAAATTAGCGTAAACGTACACTTTTGAAAATCATTTGGTCAACGATTTGACCTTTTCAATCATGGTATTGACCACATCTTCAAACATGAGATTGGTCAAGAAGGCCATCTTGTCATTATCTTCAAAGGAAATCTCGCCAAACCTCGGAACGATACGTTCACCACTTTGATTTGTTTTACGACCGTAATTATTTGACGTGCGTGATTTTTACAAACGGTCAAATTTAAAATCTTACGGTGTTGTATAAAACTTGACCGAATTTTTAAAAAATCGTATAAAAGATTTAAACTTGAAACCCCTTATTGACAACGATTTGCCTCCACGCACTATACGATAAATCACGCCCACCATAGTGGGTGCTCTAAGTGGCTATATGCCATGATACAACAATTGTCCAGGTTGTGGTTTGGAGGCTGGAGCTAGCAGACCTGAACCTCATAGAAATCCAACACACACTTGGCAATGCTGGATTGAGACATGCTATTTTGTCAGCTCACTATTGGATGAGATAAGGAAGATTCATTCCACCTAGATTTTTTCACTATGGGGTAGGGAGACTTCACTGAAACATCATTGTTGGCAACCTCATAGCGATTGCTGGAGTGGCAGCTGATTTGGTGATGTCTCAGACGCAGCTGTTGAAAGTGAGAAGATGTGACATGGACTTTGCACACTTGTATAAAGCTACACATACGCTTACATGTCAGGACCCTGTCACCAATGGTACCCATGGCCGAGGATTTCCAGAACTCAGACACAAACTACTCCACCGTGCAATACACACTTTATCAATCAAATCATGCCTCACGATCAACCCACGAGCTCGTTCGATGGACAGCAAGCGGATTTTTACGATGACTACGATGATGAGATGAACTCTCATCCTGATTTCGCCGAAGGAGCATATGAAACAGACGGAAATGAAGAATGGGCAGATGAATATGAAGAAGAAGAAGAAGAATCTCAGGAAATGTTTCCCATTGGCTATAGTATTGAGTTCTCTCCCCCGAGATTTGATGGAAATGACGAGGGCAAGAGCTCGGATGCACCGCGTGGTGGGCTGGGGTCTCAAGCTCTGCCTGTGCCTGATAGCATGAGATCGGATTGGGATGGCATCCCTCAAGATGGTGCTGAATACCTTTTCACAGTTCGGTTTGTTCGTTAGTTGATGTACAATTTCGCGCTTGTCAATGGCCACTCTCCAGCTGATCATTACTGATCTTCCACACACCGACTGCCTTTCCCTTCCGTAGGCAAGAAGCTGAAAGCCGACCGCGAGTTGTAGCAAAAGAGAACCCGTATGCACTCAAGCCACGTTCGCGGAAAGCACGTTCGACGACGCCATCTGGGAATCCAGGCTCATCCTCCTCTGTGGATGTCGCCTGGAGAGCGCAATTTGCTTTTCGTTTCAACAACATGAGAAAGGTAAGGTACCAGACTACCGCCATCTATCTCATGGCTCCAAAGCGCCATTTTCAAGCTAATACGTGGTTATCTCCATGCTTCATGACCTTATAGAGCCTTCAAGACCAAGAGCCAGACAACTGGTCTATGGACAACGCCTACCTAAACACACCTCCCGCGAATGATGAATCCAATTGGAGGATTTTCATCTTTGGGAAGAAAGTAGTACCGAGCTCAGGTGATCAGACTTTAATCAAATGGGTCGGTGCAAAGCAGCCAATTCCCACATTTTTGAAAGCTTTAGATCAAGTAAGTCTTCGATTCTGACATTCATGCATGCTGTTCAGCTATCTCAATTGCTTACTACTCATCCCACAACTGATTTCTGGCTCTAGGTCACTGTCATCGCAATTTTAACTCATTATACCGGCTGGATAGAGGAGCGGTTGTACTCCTTGATGGCCCTCATTGAGCAGCACACCGAGACTCCTGGGGATGATTCAGAAGCCGATACTGCTCATGAGATCACGCTGCTCTCTGCCCATGATGGATCGTGGCTTTTGGGTCTATTATCGATTTTGGACAGTGTTTTGACTGCACAAGACATCTATAGACTCAGAGCATTAGCAAGAGCTTGTAAGCGCGTTGCTCAGATAGCTGACGCGGCAAGTACACAAGCCGTATCTCAAGACGATAGCTCACATCAGGAAGCCGCTGCAGGTTGGATGGTCGTCGCTGCCATTGCTGATGTTTGGGGACAAAAGGATCTTTGGGAAGATTGATAGTGTGCGCATGCGCTTGGGGTATCTGTCAGTCGATAGATTTGGATCCCGTCACCTTCATTCTTAAGCCTCTGGCGACGATTTTTAGTACAATTCTTGTATCAAATATATCTTTTCACAAATGGCGAGTGTGGTCACACAACGCAATGACGGCAATATAACAATCTCCATGTGAAGTCCGCCAGCCGACACGAAAAAGAAAGTGGAATCAATGTCGCACAGCTTCTCTTCATCAAAGCACCAAGCCAATAATTTGCTTAGTGATGCAACACTGCCTGATTGCCCCAAAGTCTATTGTCGGTCTGCAGCAAAGTCCGCAAAGCAGGTAAATGACCTGAATGATGAGAATCATACTCCAAGACTCTTGGAGTGCCCTCAGATTTTACCCACCCAGATCAGATCAAGATGTGGTCTTGATGATTTGCAAAAAGTATGTAAGAGATATTCTCCAAAATGGAAGTGAGTTGCTATGCAGACGCGGTCTCAGTTGACCGGAGATGGAAAAATATGGAGTATCGGGGAGTCGAACCCCGGACCTCTCGCAATTGCAACCGTGCGAAGCGAGCGCTCTACCAAATGAGCTAACACCCCTTGATGATCATGTTCCTGGAAAGGAGACCTGGACCGCATTAAAATGAAGTCATCGAGATCAGCCATTAATCACTCATCTGTCTGTTCTCTCCAAATATTTTTACATGCCATAATAAAAAAAAGTGAGGTTTTATGGACGAGTTTTTGAGGATTTGATTCTTGTCTCACAGGTCAGAAAGTGGATTGGACAAGTGATCAATTGCATGACCATGGTCAGACCATAGAGTGACACTTACGTTGAAGAAGGTTTGAATATGCACATTTTAGCAAAAAAAGGATCACAACTTACAAGACCCTTGGAAGGAAAATTTGAAAGTTGATGATCTTTTCTGAGAAAGAATAAAGTTTGATGAAGGTCAAGCTTTTGGCGGTATATCAGGGTATATCAAATCAAAATATGAAAAGATTGATTGGGTGAATTGAACTTGATAGAGTCTATCCATCAAATCTCGTCATTTACGATACAACATACATTTGAACTTTATTTCTTATAGGTGTAGGTAACTTGTTATTTACTGATTGGAATATCGGGAAATCTAGGTACTTCGGGTTGAATGGTTTTTTTAATATCGGGGTCGGGTCATTGTTGTCATATTTCATTCGTGAAAATATGACATCATCCTGTTTACCTTCTTTATTACCATTCATCTTCCAATTTACCTTTTCCCTCAGATTTCCAATTTACCATCATCATCGTCAAATACCAGCAAGTCAACAACTTATATTTCAAAGTTTTTCTAGTGTCTAACAGAGTTCTTAGTTACATTTGTTTTACTGTTTTTTAGCTGTTGACCGTTGCTTTAATTGGCTGTTTACCGTTTTTCTTTTTTCTCTTTATTCTTTTTCTTTAACCTTTACATCCTTCCACTGGTATGTCAAGTGATGGCGGTAATTATCAAGAAGCTGCTGCAGTTGCGTCCAGGATTGAGGAACTTCGAGACCTATATCTCTCAACCGACGGTTCGAACAATACCTCGATGTTGGAACTCAGGCGGAAATTCGCTGATATTCTGCCGTTCACATCAAAGAACTGGTACCGGCATTGGTCAGAGTTTGCATACGAGCTTGTTAAAAAAGATAACGACGCCAAGAGACCTGTATATGCAAATGAAGGTGCTAGACCAACCACCACTCCCAGATCTAACGACGATAGACTTTATATTTTCGCTCCTCCAAAGAACCCCGTCTACCCTCCCGATTTGTCTAGACATTCCTCTCCAGTTGGAGGTAATGAGAATACCGGTGATCAAGACCAACGAGGGTCAAGAGATCCTCCTTTATCACAAACGGGGGGTCCTTCTGTGGAAGATAGAATGGCCGAGCTTTCTAGAGCTAATGTCGAAGCTCAAAATCGAATTAATATGCTTTTGGACAATCAAGAGAAATCATCCAGTAAAAAGCGTTCTCGCCGTCGGCGTGAAAAAAGTTCTTCTGATTCTTCTGATTCTACCTCAAAATCAGAAAAACATAATAAAAAGTTTGCCTTCATCACGAAGAAGATCGACACGGTCGAAGAGGGCCCCGAATTTACGGCAGGTGCTACGTTATTTGCTGCCGATGTCAAGGGGTACGAATCAAATATCGCTGCAGCTGTTAGAGGTTTTAACAGGAATGGAAAACCAGCTTATTTCCCAGAAGTATTATCTAAAGAGCTTTTGTTGGGTAAATACATCGATTTGCGTCGTATCAAGGGTGAACTACTTAACAAAAAGAAAGGTGACACTACCTTTATGGCTAGTGGGAAAGAAAAAGGTTTGGAGGTTTCAAAATTTCTCACTCAAGAAATCGACGACGTGGGAGAGTGGGAACACTACTTTAGGATCTTTAAGAAAGCCATCAAAATGGCTTTTCCGGATTGTGGAAAATTTATTTCTGATTATTCGAGATACATCAAAGGTCAATTATGGTCAGGTCCTATCAGAGCAAATTGGAAAAATATTGCAGACTATGATGCGGCTTTTAGGACTCAGGTGGCAGACAGAAGATACGTCTGTTTTGCGGATTGGAACCACAAAGATTTTGATGTCCTTAAGACTCAATATTTCGGTGGTGCTTATATTCAGCATTCTTCCAATCATGGTTCATCTGTTCCTTCTTCTCGGTACAATCAACCTGCCAGTTATCCAGTCGCGTCTTCTTCATATTCTCGAGTAAGTATTTTTTCATTGATATATTTCTCTTGATGTGTACTTACGGCTATGATTAGTAGCCTTCCGTTCAAGCCCCTTTTCGAAGAAAAGTTGCTCCTCAAGCAGGGCCTTCATCTTCGAAGCCTCCTGTTGCTCCTGGGGTTCACTATACTAGCGACTTTAAACACAAGAGTGGCCTTCCGATTACTAGTGCGAAAGGTGTTAAACACGCAGAACAGTACTGCTTTGCGTTTAATCACCCGGATAATTGTCCATTTTCCGAAGCAGATTGTAGCAGGCTACACTTTTGTGTTGGTAGTTTTCTTCTCTATGTCTGATATCCGTCTCAGGTTGCTCTCAATGTCTGACGTTTAAGTTCATTGCAGAATGTCCGGGGATGTGGTCAGAAACACCGAGGATGCGAGCACGCCTGAAGAGTACTCTTCAGAGCGTTATTTGCGGGGTTTTCAGTGGGACGGTCAAAATCTGTCGGTTTTTCAGCAGCGCTAGAATCTAGTCTGACAGCCGAGCCTTTTCCGGATGCCCCTCCTTTGGAAGAAGACATAGATGCGGCATTTGCTCTCAAGCGCTTTCATTATTTATTTAAAGTGCACACTCCGTTTAATGTCGACAAGATGGAAGAATTACTAAAATTCCATCCAAATCAACCCTTCGTGAAATCAGCAATAAAAGGATTGAGAGAAGGGTTCTGGCCTTCTTCGAAACTGCCATCTAGTGAAATCGTGGACGTTCCTAATCACAAATCTTGCTTCGAAAATCAAGAACTTCGGAAAAGCAATGTGAAGAGGAAATTGCTAAAGGACGTTACTCCGAGGAATTTTCGACATTATTGCCAGGAATGAAGGTCATTCCATTACTGATGACTTCAAAGAAAGACTCTAATAAGATGAGGGTCTGTTCTAATATGAGTTTTGGAAAGTCTGGAAAATCACCAAACGACTTAATTGATAAAGATAGGATTAAAGTTTCCTATGATTCTCTTCAATCGTGGATGCCGTTCTTAATCGAGCTCAAGAAAAAACACGGGAACGTCACCATTTTCAAATCCGATGTCGAAGGTGCTTTTAGGACATTATCGGCTCATCTTCAGTACCAGATTCGCCAAATCTTACGAATCAAAGATAAATTCAGAGTGGATCATAACCTCACCTTCGGTTCTTCGGCTTCTCCACACATTTGGTGTGGGGTCTTCTCTTTAGTTCTCTGGATAGCGGCAGAAGTTTTTCATATTAAACACATCAACTGCATGATGGACGACATCTGGTCTGCTGCTGCAGCTGACGACTGGGTCACTTTCAAGGACCATCGGATTCCGGGTCCTCAGGCGAAACTACTTATGGTATTCGATATCCTGGGGGTTCCTTGGGTTTGGAAAAAACAAGTTCACGGTTCGGTATTAGAAATCATTGGTCATATCGTGGATTCGAATAAAATGAGTGTTTATCTGGAAGCCGACAAAAAGCTTTTGATGGTTAATCGGATAAAGGAATTCGTATCTATTCCTGATCATACACTCAGAGACTGGCAATCGTTGCAGGGCTGGATATCTTGGGGCTTTAATTCAATGCCCTTAGGTAGATTCGCATTGCAGAGTCTATACGAAAAAACCGGTGGAAAAACGGAACGGTTCCTTAAAATTCATCTAAATAAGGAGAATCAGGAGGATCTTCGCTGGTTGATCAAGTATTTCGAATCAAGCAACGGTGTCCTGGTCCTGAAATCATCGACCTGGTCTGCTCCTCAAGCAGACTCTCTCTTTTTTGTTGATGCTTGTCCAACCGGGATTGGTGTTTGGGAACCAGAAACAAGAAAGGCTTATTATCATAAGCTTCCGTTACCCTCTCGTCATATATTTTGGGCTGAACTCTTGGCGGTTATGGCAGCCATTGATCTGGGCATTAATGCTGGTTCAGGGAGAATTTATGTTCATACTGACAACAAGAACGTCTTTCATCTGTTTAATTCTCATCGACCTAATCAACTCATCCGGCCTCTTTTTAGTTATATCGTTCAGCGCATGGTAGAATGTCAGGTGGAGGTTAAAGTGTCTCATATCGCAGGACTTACCAATACTTGTGCCGATATGTTATCACATACTTTACTTGACGCTGTTAAAAAGAAGTTCTATCCTCGCTCGATCTCGACTTTAGTTATTGATCCTATCCTTGGTGCAGGTGGCATTGAGATAAATCTCGAATATTTCAATAATCCAGCTTTAAAATGGCGCCGAGAAGCCTAAAAGAGCTAAAAACTTCATCTTCTCTTTCAATAAATCAGTTAAAAGAATTAGTCAAAAAAGATCAAAAATGCATTATTAACTTATCAACTTATCAGAAATACAAATCCTCATTCCGCAGTTTTTATCGTTTTTGTCTTCAGTTTGGTTATCTTTTCAATCCAAACTGTGATACGTTGTGTGAATACATATATTATACTTGTCGCAAGATTTCTCCTAGATCTGTTAGAATTTATCTTACCGGTATCACTTTCATATTTAATCTCAAATTTCCTAAGTTGAAGTGTGATTCAAAAAACTCTTTAGTAAAGAAAACTTTAAAAGGTTGTCTGAAGTCTTTATCGAAACCAGTCAAACGCAAAGAACCTTTCACTATCAAGCAAATCGAGTTCGCAGTCTCAAAATTAGGAGTTACTCATGATAACCGATTATTCCTTGTTCTACTTAGTGTTGGTTTCGGGGGTTTGCATCGTTTAGGAGAAATAACTATCCCTGATTCAAAGAAGTTATTTGATGACAGGAAGGTCATTCGTCGTGGTTCTCTAAAATTTTCTGAATGCGGTAAATACATCAAGTACACTTTACCTTATTCGAAGTGTGACTCTGGTTTTACTGGTGTTACGGTCATTGTTCAATACTTCGAAAATTCATCAGCTTGTCCTATTCTTCGGATGAAATCTTACCTCCGTTCTTGTGATTTATTATTTTTATCAAAATCCGAATTGTTCGTAACTTCTACTGGTTCTATTCCAACTCGAACTTGGTTCTTAACTCGTTTTCACGCGCTGTTCGACAAAACCTTTGCAGGCCATTCCCTTAGATCTGGTGGTGCAACAGCGTTAGCTCAGTCAGGTGCTTCGATGGAATACATCCAATCAGCGGGCAGATGGTCTTCTGAAGCTTTTCGCATTTACGTTCGAGGACACGTTGCTTTGAGGTTACCAGATTCACAAAAACACGTGATTGGTGAACCTGCACATGTCGGTGCTTCTGTTTTGTTCCTTTGACGTGAGTTCTTCACGTCCTATGTTGAAAGTTTCTTTGAAACTACGGTGCACCTTCTTTCACAGAGAGGTGTTGTTTTTGTGAAGAAATTTTTCGTTATTGTGCTTTTTCGAATTCACTCACTGACTTGATTCTTTGCTCCATTTGTTATATTTTTTGTCTTTCCTCCCTTCTTCACCACTCTTGATATACGTCTTTTATTATAGGCGGGTCGGAGAGGGTGCTGTTTGGTTTTGGACATGATAATTTATACAAATGTTTTAGCCTAGTGTCTTTTATGTCAGTTCGTGTCTTTCGTAAGTACTTGACGATATTTCTAGGTGTAGGTAACTTGTTATTTACTGATTGGAATATCGGGAAATCTAGGTACTTCGGGTTGAATGGTTTTTTAATATCGGGGTCGGGTCATTGTTGTCATATTTCATTCGTGAAAATATGACATCATCCTGTTTACCTTCTTTATTACCATTCATCTTCCAATTTACCTTTTCCCTCAGATTTCCAATTTACCATCATCATTGTCAAATACCAGCAAGTCAACAACTTATATTTCAAAGACCCACCCTTCCCACCCTGAAAGTTATGGGTAAAATTTATTATTAAGTACGAATTAACTGGTGGTGTCACTTATATGATGTTTTATTTTTCAAAAGTTTAATTAAAAAGATTGCAAGTTTAAGATGTACTTTAAAAGAAAAACAATATAAAAAATAAATTTTTTCTTTTATCACTTTCTTTGGTTATTTTTGTCACACTCGAGCAAAGCAAATTATGTATAGTTTTGAAGCAAGAATGTTTAGCAAAAAATAGTTGTTTGTATCAGTTTTATTTTTTCATTACTTTGTTCGAGTATTTTTTATATTGTTTTTAGTTATTGTGGACCGCTAGCCACCCCGTAGGGTGTTGTTTGGTTTTGGACATGATAATTTATACAAATGTTTTAGCCTAGTGTCTTTTATGTCAGTTCGTGTCTTTCGTAAGAGCATCCGCACTCGTGCGGTAAGTCGGGTGCGGTAAGGTTAAATTTACCGCAAACGCGGGGTCTTTTCCACACCGGTGAAAAATTAGCCCCGCGGTAGTTAATTTTCGGTCATTTTGCGTTAGCGAATCGGTAAATTTACCAATTGGCTAACGCATGCGGTATCACACATCACGACTTGTTCCCGGCAACTCGACTCCAAAAACAAAACTCAACCAGACCTCCAACACCAAAGTCAACAACCAATATCTCCTTTTCACCACTCACACACGATGAATTCCAAGCCTTACAGTTGCATGAATCAACTCGAGAACGTTCGACACCGATTGATGTCTTCAATTGAAATAAGTCAATCAACCATCTTGAACTCGACTCCAAACCATTCAGATGAAAATGAAAGATGTCTAGATTCATATAGCTATGTAGAGGTCAATATTTAAGAAAATCAACATTAAAAGACCAATCATTGGAGGACTTTTAGGATCAAGTGATACAAATTAAAAATTGAAGTTTGGATTTTTATTTCCTAGTTTTAAATCTTTAAATCTTTTACAAGATCATTATGTGTATTCAGACTCATTAAAAGCTTTCTCGATGTAGTAAAGCCTTTGTTTTTTAATTGGAATTCATGTATTAAGATCTGAACAAACTCATGTTAAATTTGTAATTTTAAATTAAGATCTATCGATCGAGTAGATGAACAGGATGATATCGGGTCTTCATGTGTAGATGGAGTATTAGTATCTTAGTGCAAAGAAGAGAACAGTGCCTCTATCACATGAAAACTGGCCATGAAAGCAGGTGATGTGTACTCAAAAAATTAAAACTTTACCTTACTGCACGACCGGTGCGGAGTACATGCACTATCTGTAAAGTTATAAAAGTTACAGCGCTGCTAATGCAAACGAGTGCGAAATTTGGTTGAGTTAAGTAACTTTTTACTTAATGTTGTGTTTGTTACCGCACGTGACCAAATTAACAACCGCAAACGAGTGCGGATGCTCTAAGTACTTGACGATATTTCAAATTTTACTTTTTAAAGAAATTCGAGTTTTCAATCGAGTTCTTTGACTTTAACATCGATTTGATTAACTCTTGACCTTCAACCAATTCTCATCATACCATTTCATTCATATCCTTACTGTCAAACCAGTTCCTTGAAACAATCTTAAAATCTCTATCATATCACTTTCGATCAAAAAACAAGATTAAATTATGAATTTCCTCAAATCTCAACTCAAAACTAAAAGTTCACAACTTGAATCGAACTCCAACCTAAGTTTACCATCAGATCCATTACGACATTTAGAACATTTACCATTATTAAGCATCTTAGTACCCATCTTAGGATCTCATTTACATGGATCTCTAATTGATTGGCAAAACATAATATTTTGTTTGATTTTATTTATTTATATTTTCAATTTGATCAACTTACCATGGCAAATGTTAAAATCTAGTCAATTTATCCAACCTATTGAGTTTAACAAACTATTATTGAACTCTTTTCAATCATTAAAATCTAAAACTTCTAAAAACCTATCACCACTATCATTATCATCATCATCATCGATTAAATTTGAACTTAGATTGATTGAATTGATTTCGGTTTTCAGTTTGATCCTTTCACCTTTTGTTTCGATTTATTTACTCAAGTTTTTATACTCAAGTCTTAATCCAGATTCCAAACCAATCGATCCATTAACGATTAAATTATTTTTCTTAGCTACTAGTTTTAAACCAGTTGAATATCTTTTATCTCGTTTACGTGAAGGTACTTTATTTGGTAAACCGATTCGACCTACTTCAATGATTTCCAATGGACAAATCGAATTGATTGATTTGATAGGTAGATTTGAAGATACTCAAACTCGAATAAGAACATTAGAAAAAAGATTAGCAAGTGATCCAGAATTAGATTCATTACGATCTGATACTGAATTGATTTTAGGAAAAGTAGCCTTTCAATTAAATCAACGTTCAACTCATCTCGATAGATCATTAGAATCTGAAATGTCACAAATGATGAGTTTGATTCAAAAATTAAATCAAACTAAAGAATCGATTGAAAAACTTGAGAAAGAAATTGAAAAGAATATCAAAATTAAAGAGGATGAAAAAAGTTGGGTTTGGGATTTGGTTCTGAATGTGGTTCAAAAGCTTGCCAGATTGAAATATAGTCAAAAGAAACTTATTATATAATGGTTAGTTGACCATCAATGGTCTTTGTAAAAGGGTTGTATTCTATCTGATCCACCATCTTGTATTTACCAGTCTTTGTTTTGTTGAGTTGTTGATTATATGCGATTACATTATTATTCAAATCAAATCCAATTGAGTGACATACTATTACAGTGAGTTTGATGGAGAATAGAAATCAGAGACTTGTTGACCGCCACTTGTTTACCGATACAAAGGATGAAAGGTTCACTTTACTCGTTACTGGTAGCTCTACTTCGA